GGATATAGCACTAAAGCAGATGCAGCACATAAACCTTCAAATGCTGCTCCTAGCCATAACCAATCATTTACAGCTTGTAATACACTAGCTGCAGAATTATAATTACTCAAGGCATCTGCTGGTAGACCAGCTTGAAGACATAAATCACCTAAATGTTTTGTCATACGGCCTACACATCTTTTTCTATTATTTCTAGATTCCAGATCTAATCCTATGAAATCTTTTTTTTCAAATGGTGCCAACAAGAGAGAGACTCTGTCTATTTTTTCTCTAGATCTTTCTAATCTTTTAGATTCTAAAATCCAAAATAAAGAATTTAGACATTCCATTACATGAACTTCAAGATCAGGACATGTCTCATCTGTATAAAATACTGCTCTAGTTTTAAAATTTGAAGGTGTACTAAATGATGTTGGTGGTTCGTGTACATTATTTGATTCTAATGGTCCAAAAAGAATAGCACGTGAATCATATAATGTTGCACTGTATTTCACTTTTAAAGTTTCATGAACTCTACATAACTCATTTAATTCTGCTTGATTGTCATATTTGCCAAAAGTAATTAATCCTAATAATCTTCTGTGAGTTTGGAAATCTCCCCAATCGTTATTTTCAACAGGATGTTCCCTAACAAATCTAGCAAGAATTTCACGTGTTCCACCAGTAGAATCAGCCACAGAAAATCTACTGCCTGTCTTAATTATTCGTTCACATAACCTGGTAATAGTCTTTTGTTTGATTTGTATACCAATAGGTCTCAAAAGTAAAAGCAATGCTGCATGATCATGTGCAGTTTGCTCGTAATCGGGATGAGACATCTTGTTGTCGGGTACTGGACTCGACAAAATAACGCTAATAGCCGAGCGCATTTATATCACTCACTACCTAGTAGTATTTTATGGTACTTATAGGTTCACATAATAATAGATAATAACAGATATATAACAATTCTTTAACCCAATAATCGAATTTTGTATTCATTTTACAAATATTACTTAATATTTCATTTCATTTTGATAATTGTTGTGCTAATATTAGCAGAAATGATTAATAAAACAACTGCCATGTTCAACAAACAGATTAAATGCGCGTGCGTTACAAGAAGTTTATCAAGTAACACTCGTATTCGTATTAGTAACTATTGGAAGAGGATGAACTTGTTAATCTTTTTCGAAATATGTTTGCTATAATGAATGAAAGTTTTCGAAACAAATAAAATCCATATTGTTTATCAATGTAATAATGTAATATTTTATTTTATTAAAGCTTTAATATAAATTTTATTAAGTTTTTTTTTATAAATATGGAGCATATGATTTTAAAAAAGAAAATTATTTTGATATAATCTAATTTTAATATATGGAAATTATAAATATTATTATTGAAATTTCTGACAATTGCAAGAAAAATTTTAATTTGTAGAAAATATAAACTTTCTTTAAGTGGAAAAAAATATATTTATTATAATGTTATTAATATTATCTTTATATTTTCGAAGTTTGTGTAAAATTGAACAGCAAATCATAATTATTTTTTGAATATAAAAGATAAAAAATATAAATTTTAATAAATAAGAATGTAATAGATAGAAGCATATAACAGATAAGAATAAAGAAAAAATAAAATATAGATATTAAATTTGAAACTTTCAATTTTTGGAAGCATAAATTTTATTCAATGTATTACATACATATATTATCTTAATTATCTATTAATTAATAGATATATATATTATACAAAAAAATTGGCACATTAAAAAGTAAGGTACAAAATCTTACTTTAACCTAACCATTCTTATTATATAAAAGAGTAGGTACAATAAAATATATTATTATAAAAAAGAAAAAATAAAAATTTAAAATTAAAATGATATATATTAATGATAATGATAAATACATTAAGAAAATCTGTTTTAAAAATTTAGAAAAAATTGTTTAAATGTGCGCGGAGATATATTATAGGAGTAATATGTATAATTGTATATATGTATAATTGAATATAATTATTCAAAGATTTTTATTTAAATTGAATTATTAATATAAAAGAAATTCTTTCTATTCTTTTTTTTTTATTTTTCCTTTTTTTTCTAAACGGATAAAATATTGATGTTTTATATTTTTATATAACAAGAATATCCTACATATTAGTAATAATAAATAATTAAGTAATAATAAAATATTATATAATATTGTATAAATAACACAATTAATAAAATATTAGATATTTATTATGTGTTAATATTATGAAATTGTAAAAAACAATTTAAATGCGTATATCTATAAGAAACTTCAACTATTTTTTTTAAATTTTTTTAGTTAAAAAATTAAGACATAATTATAAAGATATTAATCAAAATGTTTATCAATACTGTAAATATAAACACAGTACTATACCTGATCTTTATCTTAAACATCTGGCACAGAATGATCCATTAAAGTTTTCAATAAACTGTTGTTCATTCTAAAAAAAATAATTGTGATAAAAAATTTGTAATATAATATAATATTCTATATTAATGGACATACTTTTTAATCATATGATCATAAATATACGATGGAATAATCGTTATTGTGATTATATTTCCGCCATTTTCAATTTCAGCAGTTATTTCTTTATCCATTAAACCTATAACATTCTAAAAATCATTAAAAAAAAAAAAAGAATATTTTTCAAATTTATTGAAATTTATTGATTAAATTAAGCATGTAAATCTTATACATGCCACAAACCTTTCCATTAACTTCCAATATTTGGTGATCTGTTAAAAGTCCATTTCTAGCAGCTGAAGAATCTTTTACTAATGCAATTATTTTTCCATTTTTAAATTGAAATCCAATATGTCCTGTACTATCTTTGTGCATTGTCACTGTGCGTTCAAATGGTCTAAAACCAAATAATGAAATATTAAATAATAAAAATTAAATAAAAATTATTGAAATTATATATTATATAATCAATATTAACTAACCTATCTCTTACTACTACTTTAATACCATTAATATCAGCATTTCGTAACATTTTATGTACTTGTTCCATCGTATATCCAGCAACAAAAATATCGTTGATGCTCAAAATTTGATCTCCAAATCGTAATCCAGCAAGTGCAGCAGGCGAATTTTGACTTACTAGGCATACAAAGATGCCATTATTTACAGCATGCACTCTTAAACCAATTTTCCCATCTTTATCTTTGCATAATATCAACTAAAATAATAGAATCAAAAATTACTTTAATAAAAATTATGCTTTTTTAGCATATATGATAATTATTTATATTATGTCAATTTGATATTAATATATACATTAAATGCATATATAGATACATATAAACATAAATGATTTATTATTTCATACTTCTCTTATTCCATTTGTAACTTGTGCTCTCTGTAGTCCTAAAGATTGTCCAGATAAAGGTGCAATTATGCCTGTTAAAGGACTTGAAGTGGTAGAATTATTTACTGTCATCTGAAATATAGATTTTTAAAATGTAATTTCTATAATATAAATTATATCATGTACATTTACAGTACGATTTACAAGAGAATATTCAGGCATGTTTTGTGCTATCATTTCTTCAGTAAATTCCAAATCCATATAGTTTCCTAATGATGGATACAGTGCAGTAGACAGAGAATTATAAACAGGTGCAGATGGACCAGTTTGTTCATGTGATATAGGTGGAATATTATATTGTGATTCTCTTTGTAATTGAGCCTATAAGAATAATAAATTATATAAGTACAATGTCATATAAATACTATATAGATAATTTTCTCTAATTAAGGATCTAACTTACCTTCATCATATGATCCACTTTCATGTCCTCGAGCGTTGGATATAAAGACATTTTGTATAAATTTTTCTAGAAATATACCAATATAAAATATATTTTAACAAATAAAAACAATTTATAAAAAAATTATAAAAAAATTTTTATAATTAATTGAAGGATATAAGATAACAGAAAACTAAATTATTTATTATAACAACAACAAGAAAAATATTATAAATAATATAATTAATACGTATATTAATACGATGTTGTTGAAAAATTTTTGCATGTTTATATATAGAAATGTTTAGATATTTTACCTTTAAAAAAGAACTGATAATATGTGATGTTTGTATTACAAGTAAAATTTTTATTTGATGTTGCACTACTTTATACGTCAACGAAAGTACACGTCACGATAGATACTTAAAGTATTATTGATAAACTACAAATGATGAATAAAACAACTTTGCTATTGGATCGTGTTAACAGCAATTCTGATAATGCAATGTATTGATTGGTTTAAGTCATTATGTATAACGTAATATTACAAATAAGTGATTGGATCGCTTTATCTTCATGTGCCATTACGTATTACCCTTTCCATTTTTCTTTACCAATCATCTTTCACATTCTTTTATAACCATGTAAAAGTGCTATAATTTAAAAATTCATCATAAAATTAATGAATAAAATCAATCTAAATAAAATAAAATTGTAAATAATTTTTTTTACTTTTCGATATCAGTAAAATATTCATAAATATATAAACAATTATTAATTAAATTTTAACTATTTCGTTTTTAAAACACGATTCGTTAATATTCATAAAATATTTTAAAATATTTATCAACTAAATATATATAATGCTAAAAACAAAAATTATTTTATATGATTATTAAATAGATTTCTATATATAATATTTATTTATAATATTATTATAACTAATTAAATATTTATATATTTATATATATTTTATATAATGCAATTTCATATCGCAATTTTATAATTCTAAACCAAGTAAGAAATTAAAGTAAAATAAATTCAATTAAAAAGAAAAAATTGAAAAAATATAAAAGAAAATTATTTTTAGAAAATTATACATAAAATTTAATGAAACATATATATCGCTTGATATGATCAAGAAAAAAAAGACGGGAAAACATAAAACATGGCGATTGAATTCAACTCCGTTGACAAGTTAAAGGAATGGTATAAAAGTGGGGGAAAATAGAATAGCGGGTAGGGGAATAGCGGGTCGCCGGCTTATACATGAGTTAGGTAGTATTCAGTAGTGAGGCCTCCGTGAGGGCCGTAGTGATCTAACAACAGGTGTTTGAGGTTTGACACTGCGATTCCGGTTTCCTTCATTTCTACTAGTGTTCACATTAGTATTCTTTTCATTATCGAATATATTCCAAATTAATAAAACTCGTGGTACATTGACCGCGAAGAAAACATAATTGTAAATAATCGTAATGATGTCGGAGACCGTTGTGACGATGGACGGTTCCAGCAACAATCCCAGCAACAATCCTCGACAGGTGCCTACCGTGAAGACAGAACCGGTTCAACCTAGCCCTCTAGCAGACATTAAATTGAACGTGCCCTACTTCATGACGATACCCGGTATTATTAAACTCGTACAAGTGGTGAGTAGGACATTACATTGTTTTTTTAATTTTCATCTACACATGATTACAGTAGAGAATAAAATGAACAATAAAATTAAATATAATTAATTTTGCATAACTGAATATTATTAGAAAAGTAATTTTTACGATAATAGTAAAATTTGTTGTATTGTAATTTTCTTAAAATTATATTTTATTTTTTAAAATAAGTGATTAGATATTTTTACATAAATGAGATGAAAATAGAATATCGTATAATAAATCTTAATGTATTCTTTCTACGTTTCAAAACTATATTATATTATAATTTATCATATATCAGATTTAAGAACATGTTTATCTTTTTAGGTTAGCGATAAGTTTTATTTTTTGCGATGTAGTTAATCCCGTTGGATTTTGGCAGACATTCATTATTGTTTTTAGCGCTACGATCACTGTTTCTTTTACACGGTATTGTTATTTTAAACGCATGTTTTTGAGCGTTGCATAATTTTGCGTCTAATGTATTTTTGCAATTGTTATCTTTCAAGAAATAAGAATATATATGTAGCTTCAAATTGTATAATTTACATTATGATATTGAATTTGCAACGGCATAATTGCATAATGATAATTTCTTTGATTAACAAATTATTATCCATTATTTTAAAACAAAAGAGACAGTTTCCATTTATGAATATTGGCGCTATTATTATTGTTAATTCTTTATCGATATATATTTATTTTACAACATATATCTTCCATAATTCACTGATATTCTTCGTCGAAATCGAAGATACCGTTAACTGATCGGCATCGGTGAGCATCGTTCTTTGGTTCACGCACGTGCAGTCAGAGACACGCCCGTTGACGTTTACATTCGCTTGTAAATAAAGAGCGCCTTGCTTTCAGTTGCTGCAAATAATCTTAATACACGCAATAAAATATAAGCGAGAAAATATATGCGTAATCATGCGATTAAATTACCAATAGAAATCAAATACTAAGCTATTTATTTCACGAAAATTTTTCTATTCTCAACTCACATTAGTAACTGTAGAAGTTGTATAGTGCAAAACAATTCTATGTAATTATTATTTTGTATTACGACTTGTTTCATGTTAACAAATTTCAAACTGACGATTTCAAGTTTCGAAAAATTATCAACAATGCATTTAAATATCGAAAATATCAGTGATATTAAAAAGATAAGAAAGAAAAATAAGTCTTTTATAATGAAATATGATATGAATCAAAATGCATGATTGTTCGAATTATTTGGAACAATTCCCGATCGGTGGCATAGTTTCGATTCGTTCGACACACGTCCCTAAGAACTAGACACACGTTCGATGACCATACATGTTCATCCCAATGACCGGGACCATACGTGGCGTCCCACATATTCACAGTTCCATCCTACTACCATAGCGAGGCCGTATCCAACGGTATCGGAACGACTCATTAAAAATTTATACGATGTCCTTGACTTTTTCTCGATGATTTTTGTTCTTCTACCAATTGATTTATCGTTAATAATCCACGTGTACGATTCGAATCAAGTTTCATCAAAATTTTACACCTCTTTGCATCGAAAAATTAAATTGTTGCAATGACGATTATCAACGATAAATAATCTTTTTTTTTTTTCAATCATTTGAACTTTAAATTTTAACAACGAGAATTTGTTCAAGAACGAAATTATGCGCGGAATAATTGTGAAATAATCCAGCTAACATAACACAATTGCTATGTATCGTGTCATTCACATGCGTCATATTTATTCTTATATTCATACGTATACTATACATAGTTTTAATCTTACATTACATACATATGTTATCCACGAATAGAATGAATGTAATATTTTTCATGGTCATCGATGATATAGAATCTACAACTTTTCCAAGCGTTCGTAAACTACGTTTGTTCCAGCAAATGTATATCCACAACATTTCATTATGTGTTAATAAATTAATTATCGACGTTAAATTAATTCTTTTTAAATCAATTCCGTTTCACAAATTTGTTCCATTAAATGTGAAAATAAAAGAATAAAAATTTCCTTCCTCTTTTATATGTAATCTTCGTAATGGTATACGTAAATAGAAACGAATTACGAATGATTTCATTAGAATTAATTTTAATGCGTAATTCTCCTCGATGAATCGTAAGAAAGAAACGCATGAAAAGATTATATTGTTGAAATTTAAACATATATGTGGATAAAGTGTTATCTATTACTGCTATTACTAATTTCACGAAGATAAGTATTTCTTATATTTGATATACGACGTATATTCTGCGCGACATTAAACAAATATATTTAAAGTATTTTTGGAAAAGTTTCGAAAAATCAATGTGTAATACATTATTACTCACATTAACGCCTCTACAAATATTTGATAAACGGAAATATTTGAAGGACAAAAATATTAGTTAATCTAGAGGCGAGCAACGCAAGATTGCATAATTATCGATTATTACCACGATTGTAAAGTCACTAGGGTCATAAGTATCTACGGTGTGTAGGTTGTTCACGAAGCATATCGGTTGGTGCAACAAGTTATTCAGCGAACTCAGTTAACGCACGCAAGAATCTTATACGCAAGGACAAGCCGCACCTCGTAATACACACTATAGATTCAATTCATAAAAATTGTCTTTCCGTGTTTAAGAAAGTATAGTCGATTATATAGGTTATTTCATGAATTTTTCAATCAAATTGACAATTTATATTTTCGATATTAATCTTTGAATTTTGTAACGTGTGCATTAATCTCTTTGCAATCTAATCTCTTAAGTTTCAATATTATTTCTACTTCATATTATGTTTATAGACGATTCAATCAATGTCTAAACAATCTATTTGAATTACAATAACCTGTTTGCATTATTCATCCTTAGTTTTTTTGTTCTTCTTTATGGAATGATGCAAATCAATAAAAGTGTAATTTATGTAATGAAATACACGCGCAACTTAAATATAAGCGTGCAAGAAAGTTTGAGAATGTTAAAAGAAATATTTAGAATACGACGATACGAAAATGCGAATTTTATGTTATTTTTTTTTTTTTTTTTTTTTATTAAAAGTAACTTAAAATAACTGTTGTACCAGATAATTCAGTGAAACGTGTATTCATATATGAATAGTCATTACTTTGACCATAAATATATAACCTTATTTAACGCGATTTACATTGCTAATTACACAGCTATTTCTATAGCCGATATATGTGTTTCTATCGTAATTATATGAATGTGATAGGATCGTTGGCTCATTGAAATTGCTTAATTGTTCAACAAATTGTAATATTACAACAAATAGATTTTTAGATAAAAAAAAAAAAGAAAAAAAAAAGATTTCCATCGCGAGCGAACGATAGTCTTTTAAATAGAAAGAAATTACAACATCTCGCAAAGTAGCGTAAATCCTGATAGTTTGCCAATTTGAATGAGTGGAACGAGCACGGAACGTATCAATTTATGCGAATCGATCAATGTTTCTTTTTCCTTTTTTTTTCTTTTTTTATGATTCCCGATTTCCGGTTGTTCTTATATTGTTGTTACAAAAAATGAAAAACAAAATTATTCATTTCTCGGAATTTACGAGTCCGAATATCAGAGAGAATTAAACTCGTAGATAAAACGGGCTAATCTCGCGTTGTCGATTACAAAAGTGTTATTTCTGGAAAGATTGGATCAAGCGTGGGACATCCTGAAAAATGATCGTCGTCTTGAAGCGTGCACTTACATCATCTTCAACATAGATTTATAAAAATTCATCTCGTTGATTTAATCAATGTCTCATCATAACGGTAAATGTTGTTGGTTTAAATATTGGGAATTGGGATGTTTTGATCTTCTCTGTGAATTTTTCTTTTTTTATAATTTATATCCTGAATTAAGACACGATTTAAAAGTTTTTTTTTACCAATTTCGAACTTTTTAAATTATTATTAGCACAAATTGTACAAAGCATTCCTTCAAATTATCTCAACTTCGACTAATTAAGCGGTTTTCTGCATGCTGCAGATATCCGTATGATCATATTTCACGCGGATGGAAAGACTCTCGTTGCAATTTCTGCATCCGTTTATATTCTTTTATCAGTGCTTCGTTTTCATTTTCGTACGTTTATTTTATATTGCGCTTATATTCTCGATAGATTCAAGATGTAATTCTTAGTAACCATGAATCTAATTCATAGCATTCCAGTGACTTGACTCTTGTTCCTTATTTTCTTTAATTACACATATTTTCAATTCAACAATGATCTCTTGAATATTTAATTTTAGAATTTAGATACATTTTCTTGAACATTTTTTCCCCCGCTTCTTCTTATTAAAACTGATTTAAATTTTTCAAAATATTTCTGCATCTCGCTTCCTTTCAATTTTTAATTACATGCGAGCGGACAAGTATGTATATTAAAAGTGGCACGCTAAGGTTACATGCAGATCATTCCCCTACCATGAATAATAATATAAGCTAATAGTAGAACCTCGACCTATATTTCCTAACAGCTACTTATCCTCCTTAATGTTATTTTAGGAATCGTCGTTATTCCACTTCTCTCATAGCGAGTGATGGACAAATATTATTCAAATAATAATGAACGAAAAAATCTAAACTGTTTTCAAAGGTACGCGAGTCGTTCGAACGAATGTCTAACTAATGTTATTAAATTGTACAGATTGTTTGTGGATTATTCGATGTTAGGAATTCTCTAGTTGAATGTTTATCGCGGTCGACGACGTTTTCAAACGGTGAAAGTGAAATTCTTCCTTCGGTACACGGTTTCCAGCGTTCCAATCCTTCGCACTTTCGCGCCCGTTCACCCTTTCATGCATTCCTGTCTCTTATAATACATTATTATGCATATTCGAATCTCATAGATCAGTTATAAGGGGATGATGTGGGAAGGCTTGACGCAACTTTGTACTTTCCATTTAATAGATAGTAAAGAAATCTATGTTACAATGTAGGATTCTTTTAGCAGATAAGATAAGTTATTATAATTAGGCTGCGAATTCTCATATGGAATTAAATAATCATTTCAATCGTGTGTTATTTAAATTTTTCTACATTCAAATTTTGCACGAATATTTGTAATTTAATTATGATTGTTTCGCACAAATTTATCGAGCCCAATCCTCTGAAGTTTCCCCTCCCTTTAAACACAATTTTATGCACAATACTCGTTTATATTTCCACGATTGAATCCGGTTGATACGATAAAGTTTGATCGATGCTTGCTACCTTTATGTTCGAAACGGTAGTAAAGAGGAAGTCAAAATGTCGAAGAGAAGAGTTAAGTATAAGCACGGTTGGACGCTGATCGACGAAAATATCGAAAATGTGGAACGCGTGAAACTCAATCCCGAGATGCAGCGAGAGCTGGGTTGTTTAGTTGGCGAGCACGTGTTTCTGGAATATCCGTGGGCATACGTGGACCGAGACGTCATCGCAAAATTCGCTAAATTCCCGGATTCGTCGTTGGCGCCTTTTCGAGAAATGATCGATATTTACGAAGCTGACACGTTTCTCGTCGGTTATTCCTCTACTCGATTAGATTCCGACGATTTCGTGATCTGCCTAACCGAAAAAGCGAAACGCCTTATTCGGCAACGGAACAAGACCATCACCGGTATTATCTCGCGCAAAGTTATCGGCAGAGTAATGAAAACTGCAAAATCATGGAATTCGTTGGGCAGCGACATAGAAGTGGATGAAAATCTCGTAAGGAATAGAAGAGAATTTTTCGAGATAGAAATCGTATTTCCTGGAAAAATGTTGAATTCCTCTCGAACGTTAAGCAATAGAGGTGCAAGCGATTCCAGAGACAGTTATATACAATTGATAAACGAAGAGGACGAGAAGTTCGAAATCATCGAGAGAAAATGCATCAGTAAAGGTGTACAGACTTCTTTGCAACCTCGAGAAACGTTTGTTCAAACGTGTCCTACATTTCCTAAAAATGCTTGGACTCAATATGTCTACGAAGACATTTTAGGGGAGACACCTGTTGAGGAGGAGAAGAAACAAGTAAACGAGGAAACGGAACAAAATAAGGATAATCGATCAGAAGTAAAAGATATCGACCAGAGTAACGAAGACTTGGAGGACGAGAAGCCTAAAGAGAAAACACCTTTGGAATTATTTTTGGAAACTCGTTCCCAAGAAATGATCGATGCTGTTAAATACAACGCAGCTGTTAATTTGTACGTAGATGATATCGAAAGTTTATCCAAACGAGAAAGCAAAATTTCAACGATCGAGGTGGCTACGCTTTCCGAACAAGTGTCGTTTATCGATCTAAGTGTCACGGGCAACAGAGCAATTTCGGATGTTACTTTGCATTCGAAATTCAAAGAGCACGTGGCAATCTCGTACATCACGATCTCGAATCGAGCTTTAAAAACGGAATGCTTAAGCGAGGGTGAATTTCAGACGAGAGCGCTTGTCTGGAAATTAAACGATCCTCTTCGTCCCCATCTTGTGCTTCAAGATCACAGAGAAATTTATTCCGTTTCCTTTTGTCCATACGACGATGATTACGTGATAGGAGGTTGTTCCACCGGACAAGTGATTATTTGGAATATCAAAGATTATTTGAACAATATTTCTGATAACAAAACTGTCAAATTTAGAACTACGCAAAACAACTTGCCAATTCTTCGGCCAACTGTTGTTTCTCACAAACATCACTCTCATCGCTTGCCTATTCGAAAGATTCGATGGATACCTGCCAAATGCAGAATAGAGCCAAATGGAAACTTGACAAGATCATCTAACATTTCTTCCAACATGGAGTTTCTAACTGTTTCTGAAGATGGCACGGCGATCGTTTGGAACGTCTGTTTTCGTCTTGTCAATCACGATGGCGAAGACGAACCGCTTCACCCGATTTTTCGTTTAAAAATTCCTACTTTTGGCGAGAATCCCTCGCAATCCTTTACTCCTCTGTGTTTTTGTCTCGACGAACGAAATGAAAATTCATCGGATCGAAACGAGTCAAAGAGCAAAGATTTTAGAAAATATCTATGGATCGGGTGTGCGGAGGGATTGATAAAGTGTAAGTGGGAAGAGCAAGCATACGAGGAAAATTTAACGGATATAGCGGAGTGTAACATTTTAAATTGCTCGTATGTGCATAATGGTCCCGTTATAGAGATCGTACGATCATCGCATGTTCGAGATGTGCTCTTATCGATCGGTGGACAGGTGTTCGCCATTTGGAACGACGATCATATGGATTCCCCTTTATTTTGGAGAAGAACTTCCGCTCGATACACGAGCTGTTGCTGGGCCAATGAACCTGGTGTATTTCTTCTCGGTAGCGAGGACGGCAATCTTGAAATGTGGAATATAAACAGTGAATCGAACCAACCGATATTCACGCAGGTCGTGTCTCTGAAATCGGTCACCTGTTTAATCCTGTTACCCGTATTTCGTAATCCTGAAGATGCAAAAATGATCGGCGTGGGTGACCATGGCGGGTTGTTTCGTGCGTTCAAAGAGCCCGAAATTTGTCGTGGTAAGAACGTGACAAGAATGGAAAGAATGGATTGGTTCGAGGAATACGCATGGAGAGAAACGCGAAGGAAAAAACTTTTCGCCAGTTGGCAGAATGATTTTCTCGTTAACGATCCGGTCATAGTAGCGAGGAGATCAGCCAGGCGTGACGAGGAGCGTGAAAAAAAGGCAGAAGAAGCGAGGGAAAAACTTCGACGAGAACAACAGACACGTTTGAGGCTCGAAGCCGAGAAAAGAGCGCGAAGTGCACCGGTTCCGAAAGACGTTGCATGGAGGTCGAGGGAGTTCGATAGAATGAAACAAGTTCTCTTGGATAAAAAAAGAATCGTTCCTTCTGAGCTCGAGGCGAAAAGGACTCTTTTCGTTGCCACGAAAGCAGAAAGGGATGCGAAGTTGGAAAAAGTTCGAAACAGAATTGCTCGTAGGGACGAATATTTTCTTAATGCGATATCCGTTGAATTTCCCGCGCTTTCAATCGAATCGAAGACAGAAGGCTCGGAATCCGAGAAATTTACCCCGATAGAACTTGGGAAATCGATCGACGATTACGTTGAAAAATTTAACGAAATACGGCGTAAAGCTAAGGAAATGTTGACAAATAATTTCGCTTCGTAAATTCTCTCTCTCTCTCTCT